AACTGGTTACGTCGCTTGCCAGACCTGGGCCATTACATTGCGATAATTTCTTGTCCTTGCTTAGTTGATTACTTATTTTGCTTTTAGAAATATTCATTTGTTTTTTTTCAAGAACGTTCTTTCAGAATTTCAATCCATAACTCCCATGTATTTGGAGATATCCATATTTTGTGGCCAGAATTTTGGATTTTTAAATTGTTAAATGAGTAAGTTATTAACCCTCATCGTACCCTAAAAAAAAGTTACCCTATGAGTAGTTTTCTACACATATGCGATTGCTATGTTATTTCCACAAAGTAGTTGACTTTTTAAAAAATTAAAGTAATAATAAAAAGAAAAACTCATTTTTATTAAAAAAAAGTCGATTTTCAATGCATTGAGTACATACATTCCCAAAACTCCCTTTTGGAGTTGTAACATGACAACATTTTGTCTACTGTATCTACGCCACCTAACATAAATTGCAATGTAACAATATGATAGTAATAGTTGAAAAAATACACCTTTCGTTTTGTTGTAATATTTAATAATTTTTGGCAATTTTTCCCTACGCCCTCCCCTTGATTTGTTTTTTGATTTGAATTCCGACTTGTTTTCTTAAATACGGCTATATTTTCCGCACATAGCAAGTTTCGAAACACACTAACGCCAAAATGTTATTCCATATCTCTCAGGCTTATATGACAAATTTATGGGATGGCATCTCCCGCGGAAACCAAGTAATTGTTCGTCGATGGTAAAACATTCGGAGAGGTTGAAATAGTCAGCTAAAAGTTCAGACCACTTATCAAATACTTCACGTATCGGAGTAAATTTGTCTTTAGAACTTTGCTAACGACGGCTCATAACATCATCAAATCTGATAATTTATTCATATAGATAAACATTTTTTGACATTATTGCTTTGAATATGGGAAGTCCATTTAGTTGATGGACAAGTCCAACGATGTCTCGTTTTTCGATCTTCAAAATAGACCTTGCCTGTAAACTCCAGCCAAAATCAATACAGCGTAATAGGCTTTTAACAAATTTGAATCAATTTCTACATAGTTTACTCCACATTCCGCTCTCGCGAATTGTATAATTTAAAAGCTTATGAAAATACCTATCCAACACGTGGTATCCATGGTGATGGGTTGGTAATAAGAATATTGGTATTTTTGTACCGGAACTTTTTGAAAAACCCATAAAATCCATTATGGTTATTAGAAATTACATACTACACTCTGGCCTTTAAAAAATATTGCCGTATGTATTGATATCTCTTGTAGTTCCGAAGATACTAGTGTTGCAAATTATGAAATTGAGATTTTCTCCACTAATATGTATCTAACTTTTATAGCTTCGTATTTCGAAAATATTGACTTCAAGTCGAACTCCGGATACTTCCAAACGTTATCAAGTTTAGAGAAATTATGGATCATGTAGCTGGTGTTGGGCATAACCACTTGTTGGATAGGTATTTCCACATGCTTGCAAATGATAGTTTTGGTAGAACCGGATAAAAACCGGATGTTGTATCCGAACTTTCGGGTCAAATAGCCGAGTAAGCGGGTACTGTTCAGATATAGTTTGCGCCAAATTATAGATGACACTATAACCTTTCCAAAATGCTACAATCATGGTACAATAAGGAGGTAGAACAGCTTCGTAAAACTACATAAGTACACAATCCCACGGCGGCCGGTTCTATGTACCGGATTGACTCGGAGGTACAATTCTCCGACCAGGGGCCGCCAACCCAGCAAATACATGTTCGTGTTCGTCCATTTTTCTGATGTGGGAGCAACATTACCCGGAATGTTTGCTCCGTGTTGTACAGGAGTACATTGCTTCCTGCTGCGTCAATGTAGACCCCAGAGAGTCTTCATCTTCGGCGTCCTCATCGTCGTCGGAATATGAGACTCCCCCGCAATCTTCTCAACAGCAATTTAAGCAGCAGTTGACGCCACACATTGCTGTTCAAGTTCCGGATAATGCGTCATTTCTCCAGTTTAATTGTGATGATCTTAGAGGTAAGATTAACGAAATCGTAAGCTTTATGAATCGGAAGAACATCAAGGTTGCAGCTATCCAGGAAACGAAGCTGAGTACCACCTGCAGGCTTCAAAGTTGTGATGGATCCAACGTACTGAGGAAGGATCGCACCAGGGGTGGAGGTGGAGGATTAGCGTTCCTATTGCACCACTCTGTCCAGTACAGACCTATCTCGCCTGAGCTTGACTCTAGTGACCCGTACATGGAATGTATGGGGTTAGCTGTCAAGTGTGGAACCGCCGAGGTAGAGGTGCTCAACGTGTACATTTCGCCGTTAAATAGCTGTGCCCCATGTTATATGCCTAATATCAGTTCACTTCTGGTAGGCAATAACCGTCTGGTGCTAGGGGATTTCAATGTCCATCATGAATTATGGCATTCCGTCCTAGGTACTGACCAGGAGGCATGGCGCTGGTTGAGGAAATTGTTAGCTCCACGTTTTGCACAGTGAATGAGGACGCGCCCACCAGAATAAGGGGAGACTGCCACTGTTCTCTGGACATATCCATCGTGTCCCCAGGTCTGACGAATGACGTAACTTGGCAATCAGTCATTTCTCTAGGCTCAGACCACCTCCCCATTATTGTCGCCATCAACAGACCACTCGACTTCATTGACTCTGAACGCCGCACTTTCCTTAACCACGGGAAAATCAATTGGCAAGAATTCAGAGAGTATGCCAATCGCCGTTTCAGAGAACTGCCCAACCCATCTGATGTTCAGGTAGCAGATAGGTGTTTCCGGGACATCATCTAAGCTGCAGCCGCTCGCTATATACCTGCTGGTCGAATATCTGAAATAAGACCAAATTTCCCAGCAGAGTCAGCGGGATTAGCAAACGAGCGAGATCAGCTTCGCCGTACTAACCCTAATAACCCCAGAGTCAGGGAACTTACTCTGGAGGTAAACAGGTTAGTAGGTGAGCATAAGCGGAAAAAGTGGTTAGAATATCTGAAGCATTGCAACATCAGTACCGGAACGAGTAAATTGTGGACAACGGTTAAGTCGCTCTCGAACCCTGGGAAAAACGACGATCGGACATCTGTCTCATTTAACGGCGTAGAATTATTATTATTAATTATTATTTTTACCGCCAGTTTGTAGAGCACCCCGAGAGTGACAGGGTGAAGAGAAGGATCCTACGCCGCGTACGATCCCTTCCAGCCGAGTAGGTACTACCACAATTTACGTTGGCAGATGTTGCACATGTCATCAGAAGCGCAAAGTGATATAAAGCACTTGGTCCTGACGGAATCTCAATGGTGATGTTGAAGCAACTGGATGAGCCAGGAGTAGAGTATCTCACAAAGCTCCTCAATCTGTCGTTAGCCACCCTGGTAATTCCCGATGCCTGAAAAATGGACAGGGTGGTCCCGCTACTAAAGCCACGCAAGGATGCCAGAAAAGTAATTCATTTGTCACCAGTAGCAAAGACGCTTGAGGCTTTACTCCTCCCCAGCATAAGAGATGGTTTCCCACTTACCGATCATCAACACGGATTCCGAAAATTGCACAGTACAACAACAGCTTTACACGCCATTTCCACACATGTCAGCAGAGGTCGGCCGAGCGATAGAACAGTTATGGTGGCACTTTATTTATCAAAAGCCTTTGATACAGTCAATCATGCCACACTGTTCGAGGACTTTGAGCGCACCGCCCTATGGCCATGTTTGAAACGTTTGATAGTAAACTACATGTGTGGACACCAGTCGTACGTGGAATTCAGAAACAAGAAGTCGAGCATACGTAGAGTTAAACAGGGAGTTCCCCAAGGTGGGGTGATATCTCCGGAACTATTTAACCTCTACATTTCTGACATTCCACGCTCTCAAGACGGCATAGAGATTATAACGTACGCAGATTATTGTACGCTCGTGGCGTCCAGACCCATTATTGATGACATTTGCGATCGGTTAAATGCTTACCTTGTTGATCTTACCGCCTTTTTCACTGCGAGAAATATGAAGATATCCGCCACTAAGTCGACGGCCACACTTTTCACCACATGGACTGCGGGGATGGGGCTATCCTTGAATGTGCAGGTCGATGGTGCTATTATTCCGACCACCAACTACTCCAAGGTATTAGGGGTCAAATTCGATAGCCTCTTTAAGTCGTGCGCGCATACCACAGCTATCTGCGACAAGATTAGAAGTAGGAACAAGGTCCTCAAGTCTCTGGCCGGCAGTACTTGGGGAGCTGATAAGCAACCTTGTGGACCTCTTACAACGCGATAGGCCAGTCTGTGGTAAACTATGCGGCTCCGGTGTGGTCCGCCAACGTCAGTGCTACGCAGTGGAAAAATGTTCAGTCCAGCCAGAATGCCGCCCTAACCGCAACAGGGTGCCTTCTCATGACACCTGTCGATCACCTACATGAGGAGGCGAAGGTCTGAGCCTGTGCGACAGCATAACAAAATGCTGTCAATGCAATACCTGCTTGGGTGTTATAGACAAAGCCATCCGAATCACCATTTTCTGGATAGGCAACCTCCGTCCAGGCACGTTAGGAAAGACATTCATGATCTAGAGAGAGATCTAAACAGTTCTATCTTTCAATCCCATGGCAAAACTGGCGAATGGCTTTAAAGCGCGCCTCGCAATGTACGCGTCTTCCAATCATTTATTTTGACAATATTATGTTTTTATTTTTCAAAACAATAAATATATACACAAAATTAGCAGAATTCGGGCACACTTAGAAAAAAATTGTAATCAGCTGGTAGCTCTACCTTACCTTTTTATTGTACCATGGCTACAATATGTGTTATTATTGATTCAATTTCAAATGATATCTAGTATATTATCCATACCGGTTTTGTAGATCCGGGTCTTGGACTTTCGTGTCAAATATCCAGATATCCGTTAAGCCAAAATAAAACTACCTTGACCCGCCACACGCGACCCTAATAATTCAATAATAAATGTGCCTGAAAAAAAAACTAAAAGTTCCAGAATTACCTGCTTAAATAAGTTATTTGCTCTGTCAACAATAGTTTTTGGCAAGTTTATTCTATCGGCCATCATAGAGATCTCTTTAAATGCCAATATTAATGACCTGTCCGAACTGCTCATCGTACGTCTATTTTGATACTTCGGCGAGCCAAAAGCATCAAATGATGCAGCTCCTGTTCCTGGACCAATTATTGTCGAAAGATCCCCTCCACTTAATAGCGGATTTTCAGGACCACCAACACGACTAGGATCAACACCACTTTTTTCATTGCTAAATGTTCGCCATTCAGAACCGACGTCAATAACACGATCCCCAACAACAAGACCGCACTCAGAACAAATCATGTCTCCAGCTCTATAATCCTCAATTAGAGGTGCGTCAGGATGTGCGTAACAGCAAACCTTATTAGTATCTCTGCACAAAAACAAATGGTATAGATAAAGGTAGGGCCTATTGAAATTATATGAGTAATTATACCTCGACGAACTAGCCATTTTCCAAAAATTGTATTTTAAAAATCTTCAGATAAAAGTGGTATTTATTTAGTATTTATTTATGTTGCTATACAAGCAGAGGTGGAAGCGAGTTGATTGGGAAAACGGCGTCGGCGTCGCCGTTGGTTTGTTTTAGGGTACGCCGTTTATATGTCGGTCCCAAGCGGCTAAAAATCGACGCCAAATAACTATAAAAGATATCGCGCGCTACTGACTTTCTAAATTTTTATAAAAACTGTATGAGAAAATTATGGAGCTATGAAAAGCTAAGTTAGCCAGATGATTAATTTTTTTGTAAGTGTGCCCTATTTTGTGCATCTATATTTCTTGTTTTGAAAAATAAAACCAGAATATTTTCATAATCAATGACTGGAAGAAATGCACATTGCGGGCCGCACATTAAATCAATCAACCAGTTTCGCCATGGAATTGCAATATTCAACAGTTTATGTTTTTCTTTTTGAAAGAAAAACAAGGCATTTCATTCATTTTTCCTTTTATATAACTCATCCTAAAAATAAGGAAATATATCAAATAAACAGAAGCATTATTTCTATAGCTTTGCAAAGCTGTTCTACCTCCTTATTGTACCATGGAAAAATTTATTTTTTAAAAAATACACGTTTATTTTTTATTTACCTATCCTTATCGTCGAAATCTCTCCGCTGACTGACAAACAGCTAATGAGACGACGTCGAAAAAATCAATCAGCTTCGATGTCTGCATAAAAGTGCAGCCATATTTTATGATAGAGTTCACAATAGAATAAAATTTAACAACGACCATGGCCCAATTATAAGGTCTTCCTTCGAGCGAATTAATCTAAAAACAGCTGTTATATTACCAGATGAAATGTCAAAATTCATGCTTCAGGCGAAAATAAGAAGAACTTTGTGGCGAATATGTTTGTTGTCATATTTTATATGTATAACACATGGTACAAAAATACAGGTAGAGGCATCGACGCAACTGCTGGGACAATGAACCGTCAAACCGAATTTGAAATTAAAAATGTTAAACGAAAAATTGTTGATATTTGTAAAAATTGCATATCATAACAACCTCGTATTAGAAAACGTATAAAAATTTACTTATTTTTGACAAAACATTTTAACAATTTTGACATATTAATGTTCCCAAGCATTGCAATAATTTTTCATTTTAAATTTTTAACTTAAAAATTGGTTTGACGGTTCATTGCCCCAGCAGCTATGCAATGCGACTACCTGTATTCTTCTACCATCGTTTTGAAGTTTGTTTTTGTTGCAGCGAATTCAAATTTAATTGACAGATCGTCTGGTAATCAGCTGAGCTGGAAGGGGGACCTTATACTTGGATCATGACAACGACAGAACAATATTAAAGTCTTAAATTATGGCACCATTGTGCAATTTGTGCGTACTTGGTTGACGTTTTCCTTTATACAATTTAAACGCATGTATTCATAGCACAATTGCAGAAGGTAGAATAAGCTACTCCTAAATATATTTTTTCTTTTGGTGCCCTTATTCTGTCAAAACATATACACATTTTGTGTGTATGTGTCTACTGTTTTGAATAAAAAGTACAATAATTTGAAATTATTTCAAATTTTGTTGCAAAATAAATGCATTCTTTCGATGTCAATGGGCAACACATTGTACAATATTGGGATAAAACTTTTAGATCAATCTTGTGGAAAACCCCAAAATTCCATTCTGTTTTTTTTTCAAGGATTTTCCCCAATATAAAAATTTTGTCAAAAAATGAAAAATAACAAAACAAACTGTTGCATATTTAAAAGTCTATTTGACACTATAAGGCTCCAACACAGATTTGCATTTTTAAAATCTACTGCTCTGTTCCAGTACCTACAGGAGTCTACTAGTTTTGAATTTTTTTCGATATCATAAAGGGAAAATCGGTTATCGTAGTAAAAACATTTAATTCTTTCAGTTCTGGAAGAGACCTTACTAGTTTTGCAATTTTCTCCGATATCATAAAGGGAATATAGGTTATCGTTGTAAAAACTTTTACATTCTTGCAGTTGTGGAACAGACTAAAAGTTAATATACCCTCCATACTACAGTTCTGTTCCATAACCTGCAAGAATCTACCAGTTTTGCAAATGTTTTATGTGGCGTTTCCACTGCACTCGATTCGATCTCTATTTGTTGTTTGACCCATAATGAAAAAACAACTTAATTCTTCACACAAAATTTCCTAAGCAAACACTCATATTTGTACATTGTTCAAATCAAATCACTGAGTGTTCTATACTACGCTTATAACTCAAGAACCGCTGGTCTGATTTCAACGATTCATACAAATTCGAATTGTCTCCTGTCCGAAAAGGACATTATCCAAAAAATGTGATATATTAACATTTTCATTTTGACTTTTGAAATGTACAATAGTAATGTTTTATTTTGCATGATTTTTTTCCATTTTGACTTACTTTTTTTCTAATGTACATTTGTAGTGTTTTTTATATTTTATTTTTGAATTCGAATATTAATACCAATTTATTTAATTAACTTGATTTCTTGAGAACCGAAATTTATGGCGGGTTACATGGAAGTGTAGTGTAGAAAAAGAGATCTCACTCCAAAAATTCGGGAAAAAATCGAAAAAAAATTCAATGGAATCGAATTTTAAAATAGTAGTACATTCTATTGGCAAATCTTTGTAAGGATCTTTAAACATTTGCTGTAGAAAATTAGCGAACGAGTTGAAGATTTTTTCAATTTGTTATTCTTCTTTTGTCAAATTTTGTTTAGTTTGTATTATCATATTGAATTCAGTGAATTTTTTGTGAACAAAATAAAGAATAATTTTTCACTATATACAATTTTTCACAAAAAATGAAATAAGTGCGATATAGGATCATAACTGACATCTACCTTTCAACTACAGGGCCTACATAGGGTTCAGCTGGAAGATGCGAACACATTTAAACAAACCAAAATTACTACTACTTTCATGTGACAATAATCCGTCCAATGAGAGCTCAAAATGCAAAATTCTTTGGAGAAATTCTTTGGTAGAGCGAATGGGACTTTTAGTAAGAAAAGGATTTCTACCCTATGAGAACCTCTTCGCATAAAATTTAAAATTTCCAGAGTGGGGCCATTTTGGTCTTGACCACATCCCCACATTTTATATTCTATTGAATTTGTAACCCCCAAGACAATATTGGTTGAGCCACGTTTTGGTATAACCCTCATATGAATGTATCCCTGATTTCAGCTATGACCGTGGTCTTGGCCACGTTTTTCAACTGATTTGGCCATTATTTGGCATCTTGGCTTTTCTATTTCAAGGGTCTTTGTGAGTAGAGAACCATCGTACAGAAAATGTCAAACGTAAATATTTTGGTCCGATTGGCGGACAACAACACGGGTATTGTTTAATCGTCATTGAATTTTACTATGAACAAGAACATAGACTTTTTGGGGACTCTAATGCGCAATTTGAGGTGCTAGGGTAATGGGTGTAAAAGCGTAATTAACTTTGATTACTCAGAAATTATTTTGCCCTCCTTCCATAGGTATTTATTTTTGTTTAGTCGGATCAATGAGCTAGATTTGTGAAATATTATGCTATACAAAATTTGCATTAAAGACTAAAACTACGGACCGGCAACGCGGACCGGGCCAGCTACCCTCTACCCCATGTATGTTATAAGGAATGAATGGTATATTAGGTTTCTCATTCCGTTTTTAACTCTTATATATTCTTGATGACCATTAGATTCACAATTAATTTGAAATCGGATAAAAATATATATGGGAGCTATATCCAAATCGGAACCGATCTCGATAAAATTTGGCAAAGATATATATATTTCCCCAAATATTGTTGTTACGGAGTGCATATTACGGCTGTGGGTAACAAATATGACAAATCAGATGAACAGTATATATGGGAGCTATATCCAAATCTGAACCGATCTCGATAAAATTTAGCAAATGAATTTCTGAGCTGTATTTGATTTGATTGAACAGAAGGACGGACATGCATAAATCGACTCAGAATGTGATTTTATGCAGATCATCAAAAGGAACTATGGGTCTATCTCGTTTCCTTTTGCCTGTTACAAACAAATGCACAAAGACATAATACCCTGACTACCTAGTGGTAGAAGAAGGTAGATGGTTCAACCGTTCATGACCCTATGGGCTAGGTTGCTTTACAAATTGAAAATAAATAAAAGCAAATAGAAATAAACAAGCATTGAAGAGAACTGTTTTGGACTGATCAATGGGGGTAGTATGAACAAACATAAATAACTTCAAAATAAAGATAAAAAAGTATTAATAACAACAAATGAAAAAATAAATAAATAAATAAATAGAAATAATCAATAAATAATTGAGTCATATAAGCGTCAATCATGACTCATTTAAGGACCTAGGAACCTCTTCGCACCGCTAGTAAATTATCTTCGTTAATTGGTTATCAAACACAAGCACATTATCATCATTTGTTTTTTTAATTAATTATTGTGATGTAAGCTTTTTTGGTGTTTTTGGGACAATTGTACCAAAAATAATGTCGAATGGCTATGACAATTGACGATTTGTCCCAATATGGCATTTTATGTCTGCCAGATAAGTTGTCCGTTGGTGCTGATTTCCGGTTGATTGGATCTTATTGTGGATCTTTTGCGGCGAGAGCTCCCTAGATGGCATTCCTACCTTAATTGAAATGGATTTTGTCTGGGTATTTGTTGGTCGAACGTTCTCACAAATGGATTTAGAAATTCAAAATGTTTGTTTTTTATAATGATTTCCAAATAAATGTATTACTTTAATTATTTTAGGCCACAATATTTCCGAAATTCACTCTTTCCCTAATTAAGGAATTATTACTACTAATTTTAATTACCACTATTTTCTTTTAAAACCACTTTTCCTACCTCTAATTTAAATAATGGTCTTCAATTTTTTATATACTTCTCTTCACTTTTCAATAAATTATTGATCACGACAAGCTTAGAGGTTTCCACAACAGCATCATTAAACAAACTAATTCACCCCTTCAAAAACCCTCTTTTATAACCTCCCTGAAATCAATGGAACTTTTCCAGCGATCGACTTTTTCCTCAAAAGGTTTTCGCCATACCATTTTTCTCATCAAACACTTATCGTCCATCCCTA